AAAACTAAGTCTAAACTAGGTACTCTAAATTAGATTTTGGGGACAATATTATGTTCTTCTATTAACTTGGTATTAGTATCTAAGTCAATTAAGGTTATTGTCAACAGTTTGTTACTGTTGATTATCTTAAAAAATGATAAATTGCTAAAGTTGGCACTGGGAAAAAAAGGGAAAAGAAATACAATTCAAAGCCTTCAAAAGATTCTTGTTCCATTTCACAGTTTCCTCTTAAAAGGGGTTTGCCTGATTGGGATATTCTCTAAACTTCATGATATTTAAGAAACTTAACCATTCTTGAAAGTAATTTAAAGAAGAACATTTGAGAAACTTATTCTTTTGCTGATGTACAAATTCATTTAATACTATTAGAACTAACACTATATTATGAAAGAGTTTGTCTAATCGGAATAAAAAAATTTTTCAAGAATTTTACTTGATCGGAATAAAAGCTTGGAAATCTCAGTTTTTGTCCAAAAAAGCCTTTTTATTACCTGAGAAACTTAGTAAGAGATAGAAGTGGATCTTCTTTTCCTATCCATTATTTGCCTTTTAATATTATAATTATTTCTTGGTAATTGAATATACATGATTGGAAGGGACACTTTTTCCAAAACTTTCTTTCTTACATCACCAATGATATAATGAGACATGTGAGCGTGACCAATAGGAGTTTGTTTATATTTTAAAAACTGATGTGTTTCATGTCAGCCAATCACCTTTGGTGAGGATTTATACTATTTAAAATTCAGGGTCAAACTGTGGTAGGTAAAATTCCTCAGAAAACCATAAAAATGGGAGCTTTAAGAGGATCAAGACAATCAAAAAAGGAGAAAATAAGCTTTTTTACTACAAAAAACCTCTATAAGCCTCTCGTTTCAAAGGTTAAAAAGACCTTCAGGTACTTCACAATCAGTTATTTTTTCTTGGAAACTTTTTTGCCATTGGTATCAAAGGTGTTACTTGACTTTTCTTGGTCACTAGGAATCAAGTTTTTGAGTGAAAAGGTTTATAAACAATAGGTGAAAGGTAAAAATGACTCTTGAAGTCATATTTCAAGTTGTTTTAAGGAAAATGTTAAGACTTTATTAGCAAGAAAGTATAAAAACTTCTTGCGAACATCTTTTTTATGTGTGATCAGAGAATTAGCAAAAAGAATTTTTTTATATTATTTATTAAATTTGAATAGATATTTAAAAGATTTTTAATTAATGAATTACTTTTTAAAAAATTTTTTTTTACAATAATCTTTTTTATATTGTATTTATTATATTAATCATTCACAGATTATGTTTTCAGATTCAAATCAGATTTTCTATGATCACTACCTGAAATATTGATATCTGAAATTCTGCAAATATTAATATTAAAAATTGAATTGCTATTCAAAACTTAAATTATTGATGAATTATTAAATTTATTTTTATTAATTAATTGATTTATTAAGAAAATAAAGAATTAAATATATCAAAAAAAAAAAGTTCTTCTTTTTTCACTAATCCTTCAACTATATACAAAAAAAATATACACAAGAAGTTTTATACTTTTAGGTTAATAAAGTCTTATTATTTTCTTTAAATCAATTTATAAATAAAATTTTCAAAAATCACTTTACAATCTCATTACCTTTTTTATATCTTGTTACAAAAAACTTGTCTCCTAGTAATCAGAAAAACAATATTTACTCTTCTTACAACAGCAAGAAAATTCTGAAAGGATCTCTCTATCTCCTTTTTACCTGTCAAAGAAATATTATAGAGTCTTGTATATAATAAGAAACTTTTTAAAAACAATTCTACTACTTTCTTGTCATGATTTAAACTTTAAAAATAGTTTTTCACAGTTTTATTTGTAGAATTTTATCTATCTCAATTTGATTTTGAATTCTTAGTACAAGTCATTTTGATATGATTGTAGGTTAATTAAAAAAAAAAAAAAAGAAATTTTATAAATTCATGTGTAAAAAGGTTTTTTTATAAATAAAATTCAAATTCTATAAATTCTATTATAATAAAGATCAATTTCATCAATATTTCATATACGTACAATTAATATTCCAGGTTTTATTATAATTCATTATAGATCTTTTTTAGCAATCAACCATAAACAGTAAATGTTTTAGGTAATATAAATAGTTTTGCCCTATTGATAATTGATTGTCTATTCCGAATAGGAATCGAGTCTCGATTCTGGATCTATATTAAATTTATTATGTGGATTATGGCCCTCTATAATACGGTACTCCGAGTCTGACCTTAATTTCGAATATATTTTTTTTCAATTTTTAATGTTGAATTAAAAAAATTTTTTTCGCGGAAACCAAAACCCCACCGAAACCGGAACCAAATATACAGGAATCCATTATGTTGCTCAATGGTAAGTTGTTTGCCCTTTTTTGAAAATGAAAAGGAATTCAGGGGTACATAGAATACCGGGTGTTACTTGAGATATTTGGAAGGTAGTAACCATTGTCACGTATATAGGAAAGAATCTCTAGCCATCTTTGTCATCAATTCTAAAGCCATATTTTTTGTCGTACTGTGTCAAATAAACTCGCACGTCTCTTGACACATTTTTCAATTATATTATAAAAGTAATTATTTTACGAGTATCTAAATTTCAGTGTTAACCCGAAAAGACTTTTTTCGACGCTTATATTACGCCCTCAAAATGGTAAAGGCAAACTCTATGACTCGTAAAGTTCATAAAGTTTTGATTGGCAAATAGCTAGGTTCAAAAATTGTGTAACTATGATTATCAAAATTGACTTTGGCAATGGTTTTTTGGAGAGTCTTTAATTGTGCAAAAGGTTTTATAGCTTCAAACGCGACCATGGCGAAAATAATTGACGGAAAAGCTATCGCAAAGTAGTATGGCGATTTTTATTTGATAAGACAGTAAATGGAGTCCGACTAGTGAAATTTTCCTTCATATTAATACTGCTAAAGTCAAATATTCCTTTAAACGCAGATCCATTCGAGATCACATACGCGAAGAGGTAGCTAATTCGAAAAAAAAATACGCTAGTTTTAAACCTCACCTTGCGATTATTCAAGTTGGGAGCAGGGAAGATTCCACGGTATATGTGAGGCAAAAGGAAAAAGCAGCTAAGGAAGTCTGTACCCATCACGTGATCGTCGATTAATGGAAACGATGAATGACTTTTTGATGGAACTTTTAATCTGCAAAAAAAAAAAAAAAAAAAAAAAAATTCTGGTGATCTAGGCTGGAATTGAATTTAGCATACAGAAAAGAGAAGAGTCCATTACTCAGCAAGAGGTATAGTTGGTCGCATGCTAGTCTGTTTTCCTTGTTATTTCCCATTGATTTTAATTTCAAATCTTGCTTGCTGACTAAACTTAGCTTTTGAATTCGGTTCGCGAACTGAACGATAATCCTCTAGTCCACGGAATACTCGTTCAACTTCCACTCCCGGATCATATTGATGAGAAGCGTGTCACAGAGGCGATTAACCCCAAAAAGGATGTGGACGGGTGGGTTTTCGAAAGTGATAAATTGTCACGCGATCGTGCATTGTAATCCAAGTCAATGTATCAACACAAATCGTCATTGTAGGTTTCACGCGATTAATATTGGAAATTTGACCAAACGCAATGGTCAACCTCTGTTTTTACCTTGTACTCCTAAAGGGATCCTCGAGTTATTGGAACAAACAGGTATATTTTTCACAGAGAACCGAGTTTACATGATTCATGGGCTCTTATTTAGCCTTTCCTCGTGAATACAGGTATTGAAGTTTCTGGTAAAAGCGCCGTTGTAATAGGGCGCAGTGATATTGTGGTAATTATCGAACTGTTTCGCGTTTATTGTTTCAACAACAAAGAGACGAATGGATAATAACTTACTGAGTTAAACAGGGATTCCCTACGTTTGCTTTATTATCGCGCAATAACGCCACAGTTACTCTGTGTCATTCCAAAACCGAAAATCTTCCCGAAATTGTTGGTACCACCTTATCACCTATGTTATGTTATTCATCGATTCGTTGTTAGTAAGTATGCGATAAATGCATTATTTGTAGGTCAAGACCGCCGACATTTTGGTGGTATCCATAGGACGTGCGGAATATGTTAAGGGTGATTGGATAAAGCCGGGTGCGGTTGTTATCGATGTTGGAACTAACGCGATCGAAGGTATTGGTTAATGCATTCGCGTTTTTAGACAACCTTATTAAATAAATTTAATGAACAATACTTCTTATAGACTCTACTAAAAAGACTGGGATTCGATGGGTAGGTGATGTGGAATTCTCTACCGCATCCAAAGTAGCATCACATATTACCCCTGTTCCCGGCGGAGTTGGACCAATGACGGTTGCAATGTTACTAGAAAACACTGTCGAAAGTGCGAAAAGATATCTGAGGGAGAGTAGCGAACGAAATATTTCCACTTTGCCTTTGAAACTTGAATTCCCGGTGCCAAGCGATATCAGTATATCATCAGCTCAATCGCCGAAACCTATTAAAATGTTGGCTGAAGAATTGGGTTTGGCGTCGAATGAGGTATGGATATATATTGGTTATCGAGTAGTAGGAATAGATGCGAAAACGAATAGAGATGAGGCTCAAAAAGTTCATAATGAAAAAATTTTCTAGTATGAATTGTATGGGCACAATAAGGCAAAAATTAATCTTTCGGTGCTTGAAAGATTGAGAGCACGAAAAAATGGCAAATATATTGTTGTTACAAGGTATGCCCTGTGAATGTTATCATACGCGTTATGTGAAATATACGATGCCTTATCATGCCAATACATTTAAATTCCTCGATTCTTCATTATTAGCATCAACCCAACCCCACTGGGAGAAGGAAAATCAACCACAACCGTTGGTATTGCGCAAGCTTTAGGAGCTCATTTAGGGAAAATAGCATTTGCGTGCATCAGGCAACCATCCCAAGGTCCCATCTTCGGTATAAAGGGTGGAGCAGCTGGCGGCGGATACTCGCAGGTGATACCGATGGACGAATTTAATTTACACTTGACTGGTGATATGCATGCTGTCACGGCTGCTAATAATCTACTAGGTGAATATATATATATATATATTTCGATAATAATAACGGACCTCATTCAAAATAATTTGAAGCATTTCTTATTTCCGGTCTGTTTTAAGCTGCTGCGATCGATGCACGAGCATTTCACGAAAATACTCAATCTGACAAGGTGACGAGATTGTCCGTTTATCAAATTCTCTCCATGTCACTTGCATTCATCCCCTCACACTACCCTCATCACTTTAGGCCCTTTTCAATCGTTTGTGTCCTCCGGTGAAAGGAGTTCGCAGTTTCGCGCCTGTAATGTTGAAACGTTTGAAAAAACTCGGAATTGACAAAACCAACCCCGACGATTTGACACCTGAAGAGATCAATAAATTTGTTAGATTAGATATCGACCCCAATACAATAACATGGTTGGTTTTGCGTTTTCATTTTCATCTTCCTTTACACGTCTCGATATTATCGGCTGCACCTACCAGTTTCTTGTGATCGCAGGCAGAGAATAATGGACACGAATGATCGATTTTTGCGTCGTATAACAATCGGACGGTGTGAAACGGAACAAGGTCAAACACGCGAAACGGGGTTTGACATCTCTCCGGCATCGGAGTGTATGGCCGTGCTCGCTTTGAGTACTTCACTAGCCGACATGCGGGAAAGATTGGGTAGAATGGTGGTAGCCGCCAGCAAAACTGGGGATGCAATAACGGCCGACGACCTCGGAGTGGGTGGCGCATTAACGGTCTTAATGAAAGATGCGATAAAACCGAACCTCATGCAAACATTAGAGGGTACCCCGGTGTTTGTACACGCAGGGCCATTTGCCAATATCGCTCACGGTAACAGTTCGATACTGGCCGACAAAATTGCTTTAAAATTGGCAGGTGCGGAATGTGATGGAGAAGGTAATGTGATCGAAGGCGAGGGTGGGAAATACGGATATGTGGTGACCGAATCGGGATTTGGGGCCGACATGGGGATGGAAAAGTTCTTCAACATCAAATGCAGAGTATCAGATCTGATACCTGACGCTGTCGTGGTGGTATCCACCGTGAGAGCTTTAAAGATGCACGGAGGTGGACCAACTGTGAGTCATCTTTTGTCTTGACACGTACACGCCCAAGTTTCCCGCTGTGCGTGCTACTCATTTCACGCCTCGCTTTGTTTTCTTTTCCAGGTTACACCGGGAAAACCCTTGCATGAAGCGTATTTCAGTGAAAATCTCGAGTTATTAAAAGAGGGATGTGCCAACCTAGTTAAACACATCCAAAACGCAAAAAAATATGGTTTGCCGGTCATAGTTGCCATTAACAAGTTCACGTAAGTAACAACTCTCATCTGGTCAGTACATTTTATAAATGACGCAAGATTCACGTACACAAATGTAGAACTGACACCGAAGCCGAATTATCACTAATTCGGGAGATTTCCTTGGAGGCGGGAGCTACCGACGCGGTACCGACCGCTCATTGGGAGCTGGGTGGGGCGGGAGCCGTGGAATTGGGAAAAGCAATAGTCAAAGCGACCGAGGATGAAACAGAAAAACGAGAATTCAAGTTTCTATATGAAGTTGAAAAACCGATTGCGGAGAAAATCGAAACCATTGCAAAGGAGATGTATGGTGCTGATGGAATAGAATTGAATGAGTTGTCGAAAGCGAAGATAGAACTGTATACACGACAGGTACGTTATGCGCTAGCCACGGCGCGCGAAATTAGGCAAAACCTGAGGCTCGTTTTTTTTTTTTCAATGCTCTAGGGATTCGCAAATTTACCGATATGCATGGCCAAAACCCACTTATCGCTTTCACACGACCCAACACGTAAAGGCGTACCCAAAGGATTCAGTGTACCGATACGTGATATTAAGGCTTCCGTTGGCGCGGGGTTCTTGTACCCGTTGCTGGGTGAAATGCAAACTATGCCTGGATTGCCCACGGTGAGTATCACCGACATTCCTTGATGGCGACGTGTATGCAATGCAAATAGCAAGTTGTATTAATCTGATTTCCTTGTGGTTTAATTTAGCGCCCGTGTTTCTTTGACGTGGATTTAGATCCGGAGACTGGTAGAATCTATGGATTGTTCTAGTAGCGGATAAAAACAATAATAAATCCACGTTCCACCTTCTTAGGTTAAGTTAATGTAATTTAAGTTGTTAGTTGGTATCCATCCTAAAAATATACAGCCACTTCACTCTAGTAGGATCTACCTTGTGTCTAATAGTAATGGCGTTAAACCAGTTTTTCCCTAAGACCTGACGATATGCAATTGAATTATGCACGTGCGAGTGTATTTCTTTTAAAAATAATTTGCACGTCGGTTTGGTGAAACCGTCAGATGTGTTTTCATATAAGCATAGATTAACGTTTAACATTTTACAATGATGGCATGCATGAAGTTCACAATTGTCAGAATACGATTTGCTATGATGATGAAATTTGATCCCTTGATTCATTGAATTGTCAGAATTCAATTCATCATTCATTCCTCTCCTGTATCGATGAAGAATTATTAATTCGAGTTAATCTTTCCCGTGTGCTATCGACGAAACGGAAAGCGACGTTGGGTTTTTATAATGACGATGGTGACTTCGGAGGACTACGCAAGTAGGATTCGAAGAATGGTGATCAATGATCGGTGAATGAATCAATGTTACTTTCCTCATATGCAAAATCCAATGAAAATTAAAAATTTAATTAGAAAAGTGTTGAAATGAATGAAGAAATTAATGGAATAGGTGCCACTCCACTCATTTTCCTCACAAATCGAGAAATAACGCGAAGATCGATGGTAGGTGATCAGGGGAATAGGAAGACGGCGCGTACTATAGATGAGTTGTACCTATGTCAATGTTGCACGATAAAAATCTCGGAAAAAAAAAAAAAAAAAAAAAAAAGAGGGGAAATGAGCGTTCAATGTATAGCAAAGAACTGCCATATTCGTAATTAATATTGGTAATTATCTTTGAAAGGATCCAATTGACATTATTTCTTGACGTCATCGGATATGTGACAAAAAAAAAAAGTGCACTGTACGTTCGTGACGCGTCTCCTTCATAAGGAATAGTTTGTTTGATGATCGACCATCGGAAATAAAGAAAAAGGCAAAGATCTAACAATGCTTTCAAATAACTCGGATGTTGATGCGTGTAAAGGTAAAGAATACTGACATAAGAATAATACCTACTGCATTATTGCAATTTAATTAAACTTAATATTTGATCTTTATTGATGAATGTTGTCGGTGGCAAATGTTAAACCTCCGAAGAGAAAACAAACGATAATGATCATGCAAACATATGCCTGTCGATAACCAATTTATTGGATTGACCCATGCACAGTATTAGTATGAGAACACGAGTATTCTTCTGTTCCAATTTTAGTAGAAACTTTTGATAAACTTGTGATTCGAATTTGCCATAATTGGTAAAACCGATTGCTGTTTTTACTTGGCAAGATAATTTTCAATGCTTTTACATCGTGCTCCATATAAAAGAACGCGAATTTTTCCCGGTGTGACTTTGTTCCAAAAAAAAAAACAAATAACATTCCGACCTTATGTCATCATTTTCGAGCGTCAAAGACAAAGAAAACTCAAAGAAAGAATGGGTTTTCATCGATGAGTCGGATAACATCATCTCACCAGCAAAACAGTCGCACGATGACATCTCCGACTCCAATTTCCTAATCTCCATTCCTTTTCCACCGCAAATAAATCCTTTGGATCTCATAAGGCGAAACAAAAATGGACAACTTTTGTCTCGCGCGACAAACAAATTTCTAATTTATCGTAACGAGTACTCGAAGGAACTTCAATCTTGTGGTTACAAACTCTCCATGCGCGACGTTTCACGTATGGCCGCGAAGTCTTGGAAGTTGGAATCCTCGGAGGTGAAAAGGAAATACGAAGATATCGCCAGGGAAGTCGAGAAGATTCACGTGAAATTGTCCATGTCCGCTTCGCCTTATCCTATTTGTTGCGCTCGAAAATTTTCCAAACAGTCGAATTTGCCTCAGCAGGATAATTTTTTCTTTTCGGTGTCTCCTTCCACGCAATTATCTTCCTATCCTTCGTTTCGTCCTCATCCGACTATCGTCGCGAATGCAATTCGCTCTCCTTCTGTTGGACCGATATGCTCAAACACCCCGATAAGTGCAAATTCAAATTCAACGTATCCCTCACTTTACCATCTTAACCAGAGTGAAAATTACAATCCGTGTTTCCCCTTTGAGTTATATAACAATCCTTTAAATCTTCAGATTCAAAATAGTTTATTGCCAAAGGCTTCGACGGATAATAATAGCTCTTTTCTATGCGACGACAACAATGATTTATTAATATTTGACGAAATCTAAGTTGATAACAACATAAATTTAATCCTTGTTTGAAGATTGACTTTCTTCTTTCAAATAGTGTCATCAACTTTGTGAATTTGATGAAAAAATTTTTACGAACATTTTCATTTTTCCCTCGCGTATAAGGATGACTGAACGAAAGAATTAATAGGTGTTATACGCGTGAATTCCTCTCTTAATGTTCACACACACTATACATAACATTAGGCTATAGATAAGTCCACCATTCAAGAAAAAAATTATTCTTTTTTAATGACAAAACCGTCTTGCACTCTCAGTCTGTCTTTCATGTGAAACATGTCGAGACCATAGTTCGATTACTCTGTTTAAACATACAGCATGTATGACGTCCTTCGTTACATCTAGAAAGTAATCTTGAGGTGGAAGCTTCAAAATAATAAAAGATACAGTGATAATAAATAAATAGTACTTGTATTCATGCAGTCTGATGTGCTACAACCCATGTAATTGTTATCACAGGGGTGAAATCCTGTTAAATCAAGTACTGTTAGTTTGGTGCATGGAACTATCCTAGGAGGCCTATTTTTGTAAGTAAGTATACGGCAACTATAACATCTCTAATATCACAACACGGAATATGCTGCGCCGCTGTACAAGTTACCCGTCCTGACTGCTTACTACTACTAATAATAATTTACTGTATTTATTTATATCTCATTCATTCTTATTAGTCCCAATGTGATTATAAGATACGTGAATTTGCAAATCACAGGAAGAAATTTAATCAAAACACTTGGTTATTAATTTCGCAAACTCCATTTACTGTAACATTGCCTATGGCAAATTGGATAAGCTTATCCCGTTACATATTTATTTCAAATACCGAAATGTATTAAATGTGTTTGGACTGTAGTGTCAATCGTCAACTCTAAAGGGGCAAGTTAAATCGAACATTCTCGCAAATTTATATGGAAATTTATATGGAAATGTTGTTGGAGAAAAAGTTTCTCAAACATCCTTCGCTAGTTTCTTCGTAGATTTATATGAATGCGCCAACTATCGACCTTGTGGTGATAGGTAGGTTCTTCTTGCACATTTTCGTTAACCGTAACCATAACTGCCAACGTTACGAAAGAAAGAAAATACATTTTCGTTACTCGCTTCGTACAACTCTACAGCGGATAAACGTATATTCTTGTATTCATATGAAAAGTACTACACCTATACAACATTTAAAAATTTCTAATTTTTGTGTTGAATCTGTGCATTTTCACGCGTTCATATGAAAAATAATTGACGAATGACCTATTATTCCATGCATTTATATTAAAGAATATTCTAATCACAATGAATAAATGATGTAGAAATTGATCGGCTCCCAGGGAATTGCATAGCGTAATAGTAAACAAAGTATTGTTCAATGAAAGGTTTCCTTCAAAAAATTAATCTGGTCATTTATGGCACGCGCTGATCTCTATTTTTCGGTAATTATAGAAGATTTACTTTTTAGCCCCTTTAACAGTATATTATCAATGCGTCAATCATCAGAGCATAATGCCATATTATCATTTGAATGATTCACCCGGTTGTCTATCCAATATAAAATTTGCTAGGTGGATCATGACTCATAATGGCATACCCGAACCCCCATTGTGATTCTGATTTTCGGAACCTTAATTGTGTCGACTAACGGGTATTACTTTTTACAAATCTAACAAGATCTAGATTTCTTACGGTTTTGAAAACTCTATGCATACAGGATTAAGCTTATCATATCTTATGTAAGTTTTATCAAAATTAATCAAAGATTTTATTTGGTATACAATTGAACTTTTTATAAGGATTTTATACAACGTACAGCGTACAGTATCTCGTATATTACTTACTGTATAAATATTCTATTAGAATTGTTTGATAAAAATTCATGTTGAATTATTAATACTGTTTGATTCAACTTATGTTCTTTCAAATACTTAATTAAT